TTTTTTTTTTAGGTGAAAAGTTCTGTTTCTTATTTGCAGCTGTAGCTTAGCCAAATAAATATTTGTTTCTCTTGAGGGCAACAATGTTCTGTTTATGAAGGGGTGTTATGCAGCCTTGATCAAAACATTTATATTGGAGAGCAAAGCTTATAAATATCTGATGTTTTTATTTTCAGGACAGCTCACGCAGATTTGTGACTGTTTGATATTGAAGTAATTGGGAATTAATTAATAATTCAGATTTGAAGACAGTTAGCATTCTATTTTGGGAGGACATGTTGACTGGTTTAATTTTTGATATCATTTTATTAACCACATAAGATTTTGGCTGAGAACTTGATCAAAATAGAAGGCATAAGTGCCTTAATGCAGAAAGACTGAACAGAAATTTTGGAGACACTCAGAATTCTTGGGTTCTGTAGAAAAGTTGCAATTCATTCGCAGAAAATCTAAGAATCCATTTCAAGATAGAACAACTTCTAAGCTTTCTTTCTGTGGGTGTTGTGATGGCTTATAGCTTTTCTGTTTGACAGTTGGTAAAAACTATATCTGGTGGGAGAGAAGATTGATACTGGTTTTATTTTTGATAGGATGAAGGAGGCTGTGTGGAGCAAAAACAATATTATATCATTCTATCCAATTCTAACTCCACTCTTGCCAAATTTATATTTTGTATGAAATTCCATTTTAACAACCTTGTTTCAGAAGCATTACTATGGACTATTTGATGTAATTTATGTATTCTCATTTCTTGTTGTTGCAGTGTGAAAAGAAGGGCATTAAAAACTACTTGTTTCTTGTAATCTATTTTATCTAGAAGCATCCTTTTCTTATAGATGTTATATAGCAAAAACAGTTGTTTCAGAAAGGTACAAATTTTAAGAAATCCATTGTAACTATGAAAAAATAAAATGGAGCAAAAAATTATGCAAAAATATAATTTTTACATAGGATCAGGACAAACAGGAAATCTTAGCATGAAAAAGATTATAATCTCAGCATCATCTACTATTAAAATTATTTAATTTTAAGACGTCTATGAAGATTCTCAGTATCCAGGTCATGGTAGTCCCAAAAGTGCTTTTTTCCCCCCAAAAGGCAACTGGACTTTGGTTTTTTTTTCCTTGAAGACGTTTCACTTCTCATCCAAGAAGCTTCTTCAGCTTTAATTTTAAAACATCATCTTTAACTGAACAATTATGACATGGGATGAGCTCTACCCTTATCTTATCTCATATTATTTTTTAAAGTATAATTCTTTGAAAAAAAATCAATACTTTTGGTTTGCTTTTTGGTGCAATTGCTATTGGAGAAAGTACAACTAGGGTAAAAATATTGCTTTTATCTTTAGCTCGGTCCCTTTCATGATCTCTGTACAATGGGGATTTGAAGTCAAGCACAAAACAAGTGCATCCAGGGTTGCATAGGTCAAGAGTATCATCCCAACTCTCATTTGCACTCCAAGTTTTGAAGCTGTTCCATCTGTCATGATTCCTGGTTTTGCCAAATGTTTGGCTCCATCTGTTAATGACATCTGGTTCCACCTGCCATTAGCTGCTGTGCCCCACTAGTGCTGTTGGATATCTGCCATCACTGACTGTCCTCATCTGCAGCCAATAGAGACCCATTTGAATAAAGCTTTATGGCTGTCTCTAAATGCTGATCTTGGTGCATGGCAGTGATTACATATGAGTTGAATAAATAGGGGCTGCAAACATTTGTGACATTCTTTCTTTTTTCTCTGAAGTCATTTGTTCCCTACTGTGCTCCAATCTTCCTAACTGTATCTCTCACAAGCGGACAGTGGAGTTACACATGGTGAATTTACTAGCTCTTTTAATTAGATTGGGGAGGATCATTTTGCTGCCCCTTCCCCTGCTTGCTTCAGAAAAATTCAACTGGCTGCATTTCTTTAGATATGCTTCTTCTTTCTCAGGCTTCCACTTAATGCTCCAGGCTGCATCTGAGAGGAGTATACAGTTTGTATTGTTGTTGGGTTGCATCTCAGTGGAATACATAATTGCAATAAGTTAATTTATGGCCCTTCTTGTATGTGTTAGTATTTCATCTATACAGTATTCTGTAGGGAAAGCAATGAATCCACTTTGAGCTATTTGCCCTCTTTCTAAACAAACAGGCTGCTTTTTCCATGTCATCCAGTCTATGGACATATAAATTACTTACATGACACTTGGAATTTGCAGAGCATTTACTAATGTTTTATCAATAGTCTCACAACCCCATCAAACTGACTGTTCTCATTTTACAGAAACAAAATTGCTCTTATCTAAGCCCCTAGCACAGGGCTTTTCAACTGGTGGTACACATACTACCGGTGGTACTTTGGCACCTGGCAGGTGGTACACGACCGTCCTAGAGAAGGGGGAGAGGGGGGGAGAGGAATGAGCTGAAGCGACGGCACTGCTACACAAGCAGTGCGTAGCTGGAGGTGCATGGAAAAGGAGGGGGGAGAGAGGAAAGGATATAAAAAGAGATTTCGGTGGGAAAGGGCCAGCAAGGGGCTGCCCCTGCCCCACCCCCTGGGTGCGAGCTCTGGGCATCCCTGCTGACTGCTTAGAAAGAAAAGAGGCAAGCCCAGGCCGACAGGGTGCTGATTGACAACCTCATAGCTACCATCAAAGCCAGAACGCGCTCAGCCTTAGATCCACGGGGCAGCCCTGGAAGCAGCGACAGGCCGCCTCGCCACCTCAGCCATGCCCCCAACCCGGCCCCTGGGGGTGCGCGCAGGAGGAAGTGAGCGAACGTGCAGGGCCTGGCGGGTTCATTTTTTTAAGCTGCCTGAGGCTCCAGGCAGGAGGCTTCCCATTTTGACCCCTCCTCCCCCGTCATTGCCTGTGTGCCTGAAGGGCCTCTGCGTGGCTCTCAGCTCACCTTTCTCAGACCCGTGCCATGATTTTGACAGTTTTGCTGTACTGTTGCCTGTGGACGCCCCCACTAAATGCAAACATGGGATAAACTGAGCTTGTTTTTTCTCAGTCTTTTAAGTGCCCACAAACTACTAGTAAAAGTAGCATTTGTTCACAAGGCAAGGAGACATTGAGAAATGTTTCCCCTTTTGCATTTGAGCATCCAAGAAGGGACAGGAAAGGAGAAAGGGAAAGAAGAAAGACAAAGACAAAGAAAAAGAAGGAAAGAGGGAAAGAGCAAGGAAGAAAAAAGAAGGAAAGAGGGGAAAGAAAAAGAAAGAAAGGAGAATGAAGAGGGAAGGAAAAAAAAGAAAAGGAAAGAAGGAATGAGATTATAATGAGAGGAAGGGAGGCTCTGAGGGAAGTCTTGCCTTAGCACTTGGCCACCAGCAGCCCTGCTGCCCTTTCGCCATCCCCTTTCCCCCTCCTCCTGGCCTATCTTGGTGGTCTCCCATCCTTTGGCGAAGGATGGTTTGGTTACAAAGCCGGGTCTCCTCGCATGGAGAAGTAGTGAGCCTCCCTCTGACCCATGCACTTTGCCCTCCTGCACCCACCATAAGCAACGTGGCCAAGGAGAGTCAGGACAGCAGCAGCAGCTGCCTTGAGGAGGAGATAAGCACAACTGGGCTCCCCCTCAGGGAAGTGGGGCTGGACTGGGTTGAGCTGCAGGGTCCTGGTGCCCTGGGAGCTTGAGGGTCGGGCCGGGTGCTTGCCCTCTGCTGCCCAGGGCTCCGGGCAGCCTGTGCCACCCTCCGGGAGTCCCCTGCATGACCCAAGAGGGATGGCGATGCTCCTCCAATGGACAATGCCCTGGCACCTACCCCAGTCCCACCCCCTCCACTGGAGACTCTGGATCCCCCCCCACAGCCCCCCACGCACCCCCACAGGCATCCCCTGACCTGAGCGACGAGCTGGCCACGTCCCCCTGGCCATTGACTTTGCTTGTCAGAAACTCAGGAAAGGTGATCACATAACCCTGGGACACTGTGACTGTCATAAGTATGAATCAGTTGCCAAGCATCCGAATGTAACCTGTGACCCTGAGGATGCTGCAACAGTCATAAGTGTGAAAAATGGTCATAAGTCACATTTTTCAGTGCCATTGTAACTTCGAACAGTCACTAAGTGAACTATTGTAAGTTGAGGACTTCCTGTACTTTTATCACTTTTTCCCTTTTGGGGGGGGGTCATCAAGTTTTGACACCTTTCTAGGTGACTGGTGGTACTCAAATATTGCCATATCCTAAAAGTGGTACAATCGGTGAAAAGATTGAAAAGCCCTGATCTAGCATGTTGATTGCAGAAAGGGAAATGAGACGTTAGAAAGAAGGACAAAAGAGTCCAGCAAAAATAAGAATTGAAAAGGCTTCCCAGCTTCATTCCCAGTCATAAATCTGACAGTTCTCATCACAAAAAAAAGCCTATCTGTGTACTTTCCTTTTCTTCCTTCAAAATCTTTTAAAGAACATAGGCAGGAAGTGAAAAGGGCTACCTTTCATTCAGGAGGGTATGTAAAAATCTGGATATTTTGCCTTTTTCTTGATTGTTTTGGAATTTCTACTACCAGCTAGACTGTTAATATTTTAAAGAGCTAATGCTGGTAAATGGTACTGGAGTTTGGTATAGTAGTAAAGGCACCAAGCCAGAAACTGAGAAACCCTGGGTTTTAGTCCTGCAAAGGTAGCTGGATGACCTTGAGCCAGTCATTCTCTCTCAGCCCTAGGAAGGAAACAATGGTAAACCACTTCTGAAATCTTGCCAAGAAAAGTTGTGGAACTAGTCTAGGCAGTCACCAAGTCAAAAACACGGAAACACACTGATACTAAGGTTGCCAAACATTCATATTCCTGAATATGAAATTCTTAACTTCAAACCCATATTTTGATATCTAGAATTACATAATGCCTGCAACAGTGTTTTGCATGTGTTTATTTCAAACCTTGACTGAGGAAGCAACCTAGAAGGAGAGAGAAACAGCTGGAGCTTAAGATAGAATAAAATGAAATGTAGAGAAAATTGACAACAAAGGAAGAGATGGGGATGGGGAAGAAGGCAGGCAAGAGAGACCGGAATATGAATGAGTGTGAACAGAGATGTCCGAAAGATGCTTTTTCACAAGGCAGCTTGACTTTCTTGTTTTTCTTTGAAGATGTTTCGCTTCTCAGCCAAGATGCTTCTTCAGCTCTGATTGGATGGTGGGGAATGGAAAGATTTATATTCCTTGCAGTTAGCTGTTCATTTGCATTCTTTTAGCAAGTCGTTAATGCTATCTGGAGGCTTATCTGTGTTGGCAGGGTCACCTGAGTAGGGCAAATGTGTGTGGAGCCTTCTTGGAACTGTTGAAAGGACTGTGTTGTAGACTGGAGATAGATGATGCCATATCCCTCCACCCCAAGCATAAAACACTGAGACAAGGCCCCTCTTTAGAAGGCAGCAAAGTCCACATTTTGGACAGAGAGGAGCGCTGATTTGAAAAAGGGGTCAAAGAGGCCATCTGTGTGAAAATTGAACAGCCCTCTCTCAACAGAGGGGGAGGAATATGACATCTATCAAAGATGATGTCTTCAAAATAAAAAACAAAAAAACAAGAAAGTCCAGTTGCCTCCTGAAAAAGCATCTTTGGGATAACTATGACCTGGATGACTGAGAATCTCCATAGACACTGAACAGAGATGGTAAGAGAGAGGGTGTAGTATTTCTAATTCTGCCTTTTCTGGCATGTGATTCATGGAACTTTAAGAGAATGTGATTCTCAGGTTGAAAAAAAACCCCACCCTATCTGCTGTACAATATACAAAGACCATGTTTAGCTGTATAGTTAAGTTAAAACTGTGTCTTTCTCATGCAGGCTCAACATACTATGACAATGTCCGTCCACTAGCCTATCCAGATTCAGATGCTGTTCTTATCTGTTTTGACATTAGCCGTCCTGAAACTCTGGACAGTGTCCTTAAAAAGGTGAGATTGCTAAAAGTTCTACTGAAGTGGAATATGAAGATGTGATGGTAAAACTAAGAAGAGCTTATTTTATTTTTGAAATATAGGTTTTCCTATCACCTGGAGACAAAGAGGAACTCTCCTTCAAAATCACAATTGTATCACTATAGTTTAAAAACAGTGTATTGCAAGAAATGCTAAACATCTGATTAATAATGGAAAATTGAAATATTGCAAAATTATCAAAATCTGTCATAGAAACATGAAAAGAGCAAATGCTGTTGGAGAAATAGCACTGATAAATTCACTCACTGGAGGGTTGCCATTAACCGGGGATGTCAAACTGGTAGCCCATTGGCCGGATGCGTCACGTGCAGGCCACGCCCACCCCGGCTCCGCAAAGGCAAAAAATGTCACAGCACATCACAATATGTCATGTGATGCGATCGAGTTTGACACCTGAGCAATAAACCCTTTATTTGCTCAATCAATCAATCAATCAATCAATCAATAAATAAATAAATAAATAAATAAACAGACAGTTTTGAAACTCAGTAAAGCAAAGCACAATAAAATGAGCTATGTCTGTATATTTTAAAAAAACAAGGAAAACAGAGCATGTCTCTACCTCAAACCTTGTAGTCTAATTTTGGAAAGCATCCTTGGTTTTTGCACATGTTGACAACTTTTATGTGTCTCGTGACTGGAGTGGTGGTTTCCTACACCAGATACAATTAGTCTTTAAGTTATAGCCAGGGATTCAGCTGATTCGCACCGGTTTGGCAGAACCAATACCTTTTTTTTTTGTTGTTGAATTCGGCAAACCGGTTATGATCATCTGTCAGTGTAGAAACTAAAAAAGCAGGAAATGTACCCTAGGGCAGTGGTTCTCAACCTTTTAAATGCCGCGACCCCAACCGGTCATAAGTCGAGGACTAAACCGGCCGTACATCGAGGACTAAACCGGTCGTAAGTCGAGGACTAAACCGGTCGTAAGTCGAGGACTTTCCCTGCCCGGGAGCGCCGCGCATGCGTGGTTCCGCCCCCTGCGCCGACCGAGGCATAGCTGGCAAGCGGCAGAGATGGAGCAGGCCGACCACCAGCTGGCCCAGCCCAAGGGAGGTAAGGCACCCGCCGGAAAAGGGGAAAAAATGGCGGACAAAAAAAATGGCGGACAGCCTTGCTTGGCGACCCCCGTGAAATGGTCGATCGACCCCAAATGGGGTCCCGACCCACAGGTTGAGAACCACTGCCCTAGGGAAAGATACATTACTCTGGACTCCTTGTAATATTCTGGGAATATCACAAGGTAAATTACCTTCACTTTTCAACAGTGATACAAGTAAAATTTGACCGGATTTCCTCCAGAGGAGGTTAGGAGTTTCTGTCGGGGATAGTGGCGTCCTCAGCCACGCAGCGGTACCTGGAGACACCCACACTAATTGTTCCAACCCAATTCCCTTTATTCCCACTTTGTACCAGATTCAATCCCGCGCTGCTCCCTCTGTAGAGCTTGGAATACTTGTAGTCACTGCTACATCTCTTTGAGCAGGGAAGACACACATCTAAACACAGTCCCCATGAAAGGACCTTCAGAGGTGCCCCTTCTCCTTCTCTCTCTCTGTGGGCTGCCCCTGAGCTTGGTCCAGTGGGAGGAGGAGGTTTCCATGGGAAAGGACCTGGCCCTTCGAGGCTGAGGCGGCACTGTGCTTCTGGGAGGAGGCGGGGGCCGAAGCTGTGTGGTGGGGGAGGTACGCACCCATGGATGCTGGAGGGGGCTCTACACTGCCATGGTTCCCCTCCCCGCCTTCCCTTTAGGCGGGGGCTGGAGCACTAGTAGGAGGAGAAGGAGCAGGAGGCGACTGCAGCCACAGCCACAGCAACCTGGAGCAGCTGTGCGGGTTCCCTGCTCTAGCCTTGACTGGACATCTTTACCTCCCGCTCCCACCTCTTGGCCGGGGCTCCTTTTCCCTTTTCCTCATCCATGGCAACCTCAGTCCCATCACTCCCTCAATATTGCCCCTGTTCCCCGCCTTCTGCCATCGCATCTGCCCCCTCTCTGTCTTCTCAAGGAGCCTTTAATGGCTCGGACTCTCCAGTGACCACCACCTGACTTGTTTGTGCCACTGGTGGCCGCCACAATGAGTAAAAAAGCCCAAAAGGAGCACCATCACAGTGAGGGGGGGGAGGACTTAGGCATAGACGCTTCATCTCTCTAGTTTCGCGACTGGTACATATGGAAAAGAGGATGAGCCACCAAGTATTAGCTGGGGTTGTGGCAGAGAATTGGTTGTTAAACTATTTGAATCCCACCACTACTTATAGCCATTATAGTGACCCTTATCAAAGTTACAACAGCACTGAAAAAAGTGACTTACACAGCATCCCCTAGGTCATGTGATCAAAATTCTAGCACTTGGCATCCGGCATGTATTTACAGTGGTTGCAGTGATCCAGGGCCATGTGTGATTGCTATTTGTGAACTTCCCAGCCTCCTTCTGACAAGCAAAGTCAATGGGAGAAGCCAGATCTTCTTGACTGCATGCTTCACTTAATTGTAGTGATTTGCTTAACAATGGGGAAAAGGTCATAACATTAGATGCAACTCATTTAACAACTGCCTTGTTTAACAATGGAAATACTGGTCTCAATTTTGTTCATAAGTGGAGGATTTTGTGTGTACAGAATCTGACATAATAGAAATTATTATTAGTTTCATTGTGTTGCTACTTGTAAAAAGGTCAGGTTCCTACTCATTAGTATCTCCATTTTTTTGTTGGAAACATGGCTGTGGGGTTAAAAAAAGTGTGATATGGGCATGAGGTGGGATAATTGAGCCAATGGACTTGCCTAATTATATTAAATGATTTTTAATTTAATTCTTTATATATTTTTCTCTTATAGTGGCAGGGAGAGACACAAGAATTCTGCCCTGGCGCCAAAGTAGTTTTGGTGGGCTGCAAACTGGACATGCGCACAGACTTGAACACTTTACGGGAACTCTCCAAACAGCGCCTTATCCCTGTTACACATGAGCAGGTGTTTATTTTGCCTTTAATTAAAGTATGGGTTAGCCTTGGTTAAGCCTCAACTTGCTGCCATGTGGGGGGGAAGGAGTGAGGTCACAGAGAACTGATATAAATCCCCATGAACACCTATGGCAGGAAATTTGGGACTTAACCTGGGCTAGTTCTGATAGTAGCCATATAAGTTTGCTGATACAATTAATCAGACTGACTCAAGAGACCAAATCATTTTGTGGTGTCTCTATGGAACACCTTATCATGAAAGAACTGCCAAGTGTTAATGTAGCTAAATAGTAATAATATAGGTAGTCCTCAACTTACAACAGTTTGTTTAGTGACTGTTCAAAGTTACAACAGCACTGAATAAAGTGACTTATGACCATTTTTCAGTTACAACCTTTGCATCATTCCCATGGTCATGTGATCAAAATACAGATGCTTGGAAACTGGTTCACATTTATGACAGTTGCAGTGTCCCTGGGGTCATGTGATCACCTTTTGTGACCTTCTGACAAGCAAAGTCAATGGGGAAGCCAGATCCACTTAACAACCGGGTTACTAACATATCAACTTCAGTGATTCACTTAACAACTGTGGCAAGAAATGTCCTAATATGGGGCAAAACTCATTTAACAAATGTCTCACTTAATAACAGAAATGTTGGGCTCATTTGTGGTCAAAGACTACCTGTAATTTGGGCAGCCTAACCTTGCCTGAAAGCATGGATTTTAATTGATGCTGGGCTTTCACCCATATTTTATATTTTATAGTTCTAATTTGGCTCTGTATTTGGATTTAGATTTCTACTGCTTTCGTATTTCAATGCTTCCATTTTAATTGTGTCTTGTCTTTTCTTCTTTTCTTGTCTTCTTTTCTTTTCTTTTCTTTTCTTTTCAGTAATCTATCCTGAGGGCCTTTTTTAACTTCTAAATGCATTATTAAATATATTGAACTATAGTAAACCTCAGAATGAGAAGTCCCTCATTGTGGAAGCATGCAGGGTTGAGCCCCAGTACTGTCTTTTAAAGAGGTGAATTGGATCCCATCTTGTGCTTATTTTGCTAAAATTGACCATAGAGGCCAAAGTGCATCAGCCATGGGTATATGCAGAGGAAAAGAACAAGTCCTTTTCTGTCTTAATGATTTACATACCTGTGTGCAGTGTAACAGCATTTGGACAAACCATGCTAATGCCAAAACGATACGTGTGTGATTATATCATTGTGCAAATGCCACAATTATGTGCAGGTAGTCCTTGACTTATGACCAAAATGGAGCATTTATATTTATAAGTTGTGCCAGTGTTAAGTAGGTCATCCTGTGACCATGCCCAATTTTACTACCTTTTTTGCAGTGGTTCTTAAGTGAATGCAGTGGTCATAAGGGAATGCCATGGTCATTAAATGAACCCATTGTCCTCAATGGGTGTTTCTTGCCAAAAACCAGAAATAAACAAGTTTCTGGCAAATAACACTGTAAATCATGGTCACACAATTACAGGATGCTGCAAACAGCCATAAATGTCGGCCAATTGCTAAGCGCCTAAAATGTGATCACATGACTAAAGGGGGGGGCAGCTGTCAGAACTTCGTACTTTTTTTTGAGTCTTTGGATTAGTTGAGGACTACCTGTATTTGCATATGACATCTAGCAATCTACCTGATCTTAGCTGATATTAGCTGTGATGCTTGCATGACATCATGCTCTCCTTGGGCCTCCCCACAGATGACCAAGCACATGTATTTTTCCCTCTTTCTTTTATGCATATACACAAAAGTGCTTTTTAGCAGTAAATAACTGCAGAGTAGTCTAAAAAACTGATCCACTCTGTGACTCAAGCAGATGAGAATGCACAGGCTAAAAACTTCTAATAAGAAAAAGTACCCCTCCCAGCAGAGGCAGTTTTAATTTTAGATGAATTTCTTATTTGCGTGAGCTGGTATGTTCCCTGAGTTTCTCTTGATGCCTTTTAAAGCAATACTGCAATCTGCCTTGTCCTGCTTATGCAGATGAGCAAAGCCCTGTGCATTCAAAAGTTCCCTGAAATAACTGATAATGGAAAGAGGAGAAACAACAACAATATGAAGTCCAACAGAATGAAGTTCTAGGGCTAGAGGCTCCATTGCTGCTAATTCCACCAGCAGAATCTTCTGCTCCATATCCCAGTTGCAACCTTCCAAAGGGGAAAGCTGTGCAAGCTTGTTTTTAACCTTCTTTCCCACCTTGATATCCACAGATCCTAGCACAGTGGTGGCGAACCTATGGCACGGGTGCCAGAAGCGGCACTCAGAGCCCTCTCTGTGGGCACGCGTGACGTCGCCCCAGTCCTAGGCCTTCAGCTGGGTTTTATAAAACCTTTTCGCTTTAGGCCTCCGCCGCCGTGTACAAAAAAAAAAGGTTCAATCAATCGATCAATTTCAACTTCTCGCGGGGAAAAAAAAAGATCTTGCAAAGTTGGAATTGATTGATTGAACTTTTTAGTCCCACCCAGTCTGCTGTTACCACCGCAGCCACGCCCACCCAATGGGCCAGACCCACCCAATGGGCCACACCCACCCGGCACCCGACGATGCATAAGTGGGTTTTGGGTTGCAGTTTGGGCACTCGGTCTCTAAAAGGTTCACCATCACTGTCCTAGCATGTTTCACACCCTCCCTCTTTTAGACATAGTGCTTCTTGCTCCATTTTTAAAAGACACCTCCTGTATCCTATCTTCCAGGAAAAGTACTAAAATTAATTAAAAGCTGTGAAAGAAACATGTGGAGTAACAGTGTCAGGGGAGGTGATAGGTACTTGTCAGAATGTGGAGGAAGAGAAGGGAGGTGATTGCAATGTAACAAGCAATTACCAGACTAGGGTGAGGGGAAGAAAACAAAAGGCTGTGGGTGAAATTCTGGCATAATGCAACAATGTGTTTTCCCCTTACAGGGCAGCATGCTGGCCCGGCAGTTGGGTGCTGTGGCATATGTAGAATGCTCTTCCAAAGTCTCAGAGAATAGTGTGCGGGATGTTTTCCATGTGACCACAGTGGCCTCAGTCAATCGGATTCATAAGCACCTCAAGCGCAGCAACTCAAAGCGAGGACTGAAGCGGATTACGCAGATGCCTGGACGGACAGATTTATTGACTGACTCTGAGATCCGCAAAGACCGGGCCAAGAGCTGCTCGGTGATGTGAGAGCCAGCACAACTGCAGAGGGGCTGAAGTATAGCACTGCCTGTCCATATCACTTTGTGTAGTAACTGGGAATGGAAGGTTCTCTGCACTGAGGGCCACATTCCCCAGGATGTAGGTCAGAACAAACCAAGGCCTGTCAGGAAGCTGAGTTGGGAGGGATCTGCCTGAAACTGCAAATGCTCAGCATAGTGCAAAAGCATCTAGATGGCCCATAGTTGCACAAAATACAGAAATGCTCAGGTAGTAGACATCTTCCAAAGAAAGGAACACTTCCCCATGAGAAGCACTGGAGGTGATACATACTTCAAATCTTCTTAAGAGTTATTATTTCAGAATTAGTTTCAAATGTGATGTCCAGACAACCCAAGTATCTGGCATTTTTGGTTGCTGTGGGGTGTGGCAACCAGTCCACGCCCACAGCATGTGTGCACATGTATATTTGTGCTCATGCTTGAGGGCAGTCATGGAATAAAAAAGTTACAGAAGAGTCAGAGCAAATGGTGGTCATTTAAGATGAAAAGTGGGATCAATTAGGGTGGCGGGGGAGGGGAGAGGGCTGATAGTTTTGGACAATTAAATAGTTCCCAGGGCATTTGACATTCTGGATTAACTGACAGGTCATTTTGTCCCAAAGGCAAATTTTTTTCAAAAGGCAGCTGAACTTTCTTTGTTTTTCCTCATGTTGTGCCATGAGGACTGCAGTCATTCTCCACCATTCAGTCAGAACTGAGAAAGCTTCTTGGATGAGAAGCGAAATATCTTCAAGGGAAAACCAAGAAAGTCCAGCTGCCTTTTGAAAGAGCACTTTTGAGACCACCATGACTTGGATGATTGAGAATCTCCATAGACATTTGACAGGTCACTTTGCTACACCAGAAACAATTGCCAAGAAAGTAGCTCTTTTGGAAGAGATGGTTTTCATTATCTCTACCAAGGGTGAAAGCTGGAAGGCTCAAAAGTTGTGTCCACTGGAGCCTTTGTTTTCAATAACAGTTGCTGTGGTCTTCACTTGTCTTGTATGACACCTACAAGTCCTTTTTGTCTGCAAATAGTCTGTCATGACCATGGCTGCATCATAGGCAAGAATCAGTTCTTCTTGGTCCCCATTCTTGTTTCACGATCTCCTTTCATGGGATGATGCGAATGGATAGGATTGAAGGAATGCCTTTTGCTCCTGGGAAGGAGAAAAAAAAAAGATAGCTGACGGGTAGTAAAATGTCTCTAACATTGTAAATCAAATATTGGGAAATGCATTGCTGTTCCATCTTTTGAATTGGGCTGCATTTCTTTGAGGTGGGTGTTGCTGTAGAGGTATAACCTACCTCAGATTGTTGGCAATTCAACTCTTTTTGATTACACGAGAGGGGGGAAAATTCAAGCTGCAGACTTCCATAATAATTTCAATATTTAATGGCTCTTGGATCGCAGCGTGATCCTAATGTGTCTACAGATATCTTTCTTGGTGCTCTGTAAACTCTTGGCTCCCAGAATCTAAAAGATTCTTAAATTAAAAATAAATGGCATGGAGCAGAACAGTAGCAGCCAGCTTCATCTTTATTTCCAAGAATACTTTGAGGCATTAATGACATTTTTAAAAGGTAAAATAATCTATATAGATGCCACCAAATTATTCTAACTCATGTCATGTTATAATAAAATGAAATACAATTAAAACATCACAAAGGAAAAACCCAGATATAATAGCCATGCTCAAAAATACTTAACTAAAATTTTAGTTCTTGGCATTAAAATTGTATGGCACCAGGATCCCATATAACTAAGAAAATAATATTAGTAACAATAAATAAAATAAAATGAATAAAAAAGACAGAATGGATTTATGGGAGTCTGAAGGAATTTGCTGCTTTCATCAGAAGGATGAGAACAGAAACATGGTAGCATACCAGCAGCTCCATCCTTTTTGCACATGTGTGCAACAACAGCACATTAAGAGCAGAATTTGTGTTACAATACCATGATACTGTTTTAGTTCTGCCTCGTCTGCAAATGTCACTGCAAATGTCACTCGTCTTCTTGGTCCCCATTCTTGTTTCACGATCTCCTTTCATGGGATGATGCGAATGGATAGGGGGAGGGGTTGTTAAATTGGCTGGGGGGAGGGGTTGTTAAATTGGATTAGCAGACAATACAATAACTGTAAGAGGCGGCAGCAAGCCAGTTTACCTTCTAATCAGCATTTTGCAAGTAATCATGCTAACCATGGTAACATAATTTCTACCATGGTTGCAAAAGCACACAACATACTCTCAAAATTCTAGTAGTCCAAAAGAGTCAGGGCCTTCTAATCAAATATTACATAAAAAAGCACTTCTTTTGAGCAAGTGAAGGACCCTAAAGCTTTAATGATGCAAGTTCTTGAGGAAGACAAATGGGACATTTGTGCTGCTACAGACAAACTTGCCTATGAACTGGTCTCCAGATAGGTTGGGATTATGACTCCCAATATTTCCCTGAACAAAATGGAATAGTGACTGAGAATTCTTAGAGTTATATAATCCTAACCCAACCAGGTAAGGTAGTTCCTGTAAATCTGTATTTTTCAAACATGAAAAATTTACAACATTAAGATATGTGGACTTCATCTCCTGGAATTTCCTAGCCACCATTGACAGCTGTTGGCAATGGGGAACCCCCAGAATTTCCCATGCTGGAAGTTAAAGTCCATACATCGTAAAACTTGCCAAATTTGAAAAGAAATTGCTGTAGATCATCAGTTGTTTCTGGTCTCTTGTATTGCTTAGAATATGATTTTTAAAAGATGGGCCATTGAACCTTTGTTCTGATCTCCCATGAAATTATAAACTACCCCAGATCTCTGGAGTAAAAGTTCACGAAATCAGAAATTTTGCAATCTCCTTGTGCCATGAACTACTATGGATGACTTTCTTCACCGGGAAGAATCATTCACATGCAGGATTAATAGAGGCTGCCTGTGTTTTTTGTCTACTCCTCTCCCCCCCCCCCGCCCAAGGTCCAGTTGTTTCTATGCTGGATTTGACTACAGCAACTCCATTGTCTTGGCCTTATATTCCAAAGCTATGCACAGCTGGCATTCTGGCATTCCTCTTTTTTAAGGCTTGGTATGGTTTGGGATTTTGATATAGGTCTTCTCAGATCACAGGGAATCACAGTACAATTGTGAAAAATGCAGCCCGTCAGCAAGGTTTTTATTTGGCATAATGAGTAGAGTCTGGGAGTGATGTTCTCAGACATACTATAGAACTATTTCTTACTCACTTAAGAAGGAACAGGTCAAATAATATTGAATTTAGGTATCCAGTTATCATCATTTAGCCAAGGACTAAAATTTTAATATATAGACTGCCTTCCCTAATCCCACAAAGAGCTTATTAAAAATCAGTTCTTCCTTCAAATTGCTTTCCTTGATTGTAACCATAACATATTCAATATCCATTCTGAAATGACTACAAGTTTGCCAAACCATGTTTGCTTCTCAATTATTTGATACCTCCTTATTTTTAAGAAAAGCAAAATTCCCACAATTCTGGGACAGCAGATTTTCAACACTATTAAAATTACGGTTTAAGAACTTTCCCCCTTTTTTTGGTAGGACTTCTTTTTCCAAAAAGAGCAATGATGGGTAGCATGAAACCAAAGGCAAAGGTCGACAGCCTCCTTTCTTGACCTGTAGCATGGTGAAAAAGAAATTCTGTTCTTACTGGAAGTCTCAACTAGTTGCTTACAAAGTACTGAATGAAAGGACAAGGCCCACAGATTGTTCATGCTAGTCCTAAATACTAACAGGTGCCTTTGAGTATGAATGAGTAGCTGCACAACTGAATGATGGATTGGTGGTGGTGGTGGTGTGTGTGTGTGTGTGTGTGTACGTGCACGCATTGTAGGAACCTGTGTTCCCTTCATCTGCCAAATCTTGAGCTGCATTTGGAGAACACTGTGTTGATGACAGCTGCCTGAGCTGTGTGACTGACAAGTTGTGAGATTAAGAACAAGATCTTTTCAGGATTCTCGTGTCAAAATTATTTTTATGTTCATGCATATATGAAGCCTTACTGGCTTCTCCATTCAACATAAAGGGAAAGTATAATTCTGGAGATCAGCATCTGACTTCAAGTAGTCTTTCCTTACCTGGAACCTCAAATGGTAAGCATTCTGCCCTGGGAATACAATGAAAAGGAGGACAAAAATAAATTGAAGAAAAAAATATCGTAAATAAAAGAAACATTTTATTCATTGCAACAATAATACAGAATACACTATAATATGATAAATGCATAATAAAAACATTTGTAGCAATAACATTTTATATTGTAATTATGCTTACATGCCGCGCCCCCGCTCGCAGCCACCCCGCCAGCACTGCTGCCCCGCTGTGTAGAGGGCCCCGCGGCTCCCAAAGCACCAGCTGTGCTGGCTCTCGCCCCGGGGGGCAGCCCGCTGTCAACACACCCCACCTGCAGCCGCCCCACCAGCACCACTGCCCACCCTGCGCAGCCCCGTGTAGAGCAGGCCCCGTGGCTCCCACAGCACGAGGGGCAGCCGGCCACCGCCGCCCCTCACATCCCTGCCCGCAGCAGCCCCGCCGCCCCTGCCTCTTGCGCCCGCAGCCATTATTGCCCTAGCAGGGCTGAAGATCAAGAGAAAGTTACTGTGGCATCGCCGCTCCAGTCTTCTCCAGGTATCTTCGGGACTAACTAGGAGATGGTGTAGTTGGGTAGCAGGGAGGGGTGCAAAGTTCCTGCCAATTCGCCTTCGCTGCAGACAACTTAGATGTGCAAAGTTTGCCGGCTGGGTATTTTGGCGCACTCAGCAGCAATTCCTATTGGCTTTCGAAAGCCAATAGAGGGAGTAGCACAGCTCATGCAAAAGGTGAAAAAAAAACCCATCAAAAAAGGTGCCGGAATGCCATTCTGAGCGTTCTATGAGAGAAAAAAAAGCCCTGCAGATTAGTCTTCAAATATCAAAAAGGAGGACATGTAGGAGGACACATTTTGAGGGAGGACAGAACTCACAAAAGGAGGACTGTCCTCCCTAAAGGAGGATGGTTGGTCACCTTACTTCTAAGGGTACTTTCACATGCCACTCTCTTCAAACCACTTGATAATGATCTACCAATCTTCACAATTTCCTATTCAGAAATATTATCAAGGAGAACAAAATCACTGCTCAAGTTGCTGCAAGTGTGGCAGCATGAAAATCCCTAGATGGTCACAAAAGAAATATTAAAAACTATAGAGTTTTTAAAAACTATACCTCAATGAAACTGCATCTACATGGAGGGAAGTATGCAGTGGGGTTTCCCAAGGCTCTATTTTAGGCCCAGTACTCTTCAACATCTTCATCAATGATATGGATGAGGGGATAGATGGCTAACTCATCAAATTTGCAGATGATACCAAGCTGGCAGGAACAGCCAACACTCTAGAAGACAGGCTTAAGATACAGAAAGATCTTGATAGACTT